ATAAAGAGGCGTGGTCTCTCCTCCCCCTTCAACCTGTATTTAAGAGCTTGCATCTTGAATCCCTGCCTCACTTGATGCAGCAAATCTGGCTGTGACGGTCCCACCTGATGACGGATACTTGTGTTGCCTCCGAAACGTCGTGATTTGTATTTTTATTAATTTTTATTTCATTTTTTTACCTACGTGACTTTACCGAAAGAACTAAGAGTATGCAGTCACGAAAGCTTCAAATCTAGAAGGAATGTGCCACTTATAAAGAGGCGTGGTCTAAACAGGAAGAGGGGCCTGAAAGAATAATAATAAACGGAGCCTGAAAATTAATCCGAAATAAGGGTCCTCCAATTGCAAAAGGCCCAAAAATGCAAAATTGTGACTCTCAAAAAATGACAGCAGCTAAAAGAAGAAAACCCAATTCCGTGTATATAGAAGTACTTCAACCATTAACTTTTCCGATAGATTCAAATAAGGACAGCAGGTAGCAAAAACTAATTGTTGCATATGCGCCCGCAGGCCAACTAGTTATGGTATGATTATCTGATGAGGACTACCATAAACACTTGATAAAAAAAATACTGTTCCAGGGACAGAACTGGCAGCAGATTCAAGGTTTTTACTCTGGCGCAACGGCAAAACACAACCACAACAAGCACATAATCCCAGGCTTTATCAACCACCACATCTGCTTGGAGGCCTGCCAGCCAGCTCTCGGACCGCCCTTCATTGCTGCCATTATCACGCACCTGTGGCTGCCCGGGTCCTTGCGTAACCCTGCAGTGATATTGAGCGAGGGCCAAGACAAAGATCGCCCGTATAGCCTTAACGGACTCTTTGGGGAAAGTGATGTTAGTGAGCACCTATGAAGGTCTGCACAGCACACGACGAAGGGGATGGGGGTGGCCAAAACCCGCCCAGCCGCCTTTGTGACACAATGTTTACACACCACAGGAAGTACTCATTTGAGGGTGAGTCAATCTGGGGAAGCCTCAGGACCGGTTCAAATATTCGCCACTGTTATTGATCATGAGCGGGAATCGAAGTCGGGTTGCCGGGTTCGTAGCGCTAACCGCTCGACTACCGCTCCCCACACACACACACCCACGTGTACACACATGTACGTGTGCCATGATTCTAGATTTGAAGCTTTCGTGACTGCAAGGATTCATATTCTTGGGTTTTTTCGGTAAAGTCACGTAGGTAAAAAATTAAAATGAAAATTAATAAAAGTAAAATTAAAATAAAATAAAAATCACGACGTTTCGGAGGCAACACAAGCCTCCGTCTTCAGGTGGAACCGTCACAGCATGCTTGCTGTATCAAGTAAATGATTTTTTATTTTACTTTTATTAATTTTCATTTTTTACCTACGTGACTTTACCGAAAAAACCCAAGAATGTGTGCCATGATGCCCTACTTGCACACAAGCTGTGTATTCAAACCAACATGGAGCCACACACCCTAGCCCTATCAGATAATCTGTGCATCGCTGTCAGGATCTTCTACTGCTGCACCTCACATTGAAAGCAAATCTCTTACAAAGACATATGTTCTCCTGAACAAAGCATGATAAATGATGTCTAAATAACACAGCCAATTAAAGGGAAATTGCACAATTATGAGTCAACAAAGCAATGGTTGCATGCTCAAATCCTGACCGAATTGGGTAATGATGATAATGATGACATTCGTATATGATAATAGGTTGAGCGATTGTCAGGGGTCAATTTGAGGCTGCTACTGTAAACAAATATGCCTGTTAATGCATCTGTCTATCGATTAGTGTGTGTTTGTGGACGTTGTTAGTGTATGTCAACTAACCCACTCCTGTGTGAATGTTGTTAGTGCGTGTGAACTAACACACTGGTGCGTGAATGTTGTTAACGTGTGTGCACAAGGCCTATCGGTGTGTGTGTGAACATTGCTGGTGTATGTCAGAGGTCGCAAACGGGTTTTGATTCCTTACCCGTACCCGTACCTGGCCGCACCAGGGTCGCAAATGGGTACCCGTACCCTACCCGATACCCGGCTACCCGTACCCGGCCGGGTACGGGTAGGGTACAGGTATTGGGTACCCGATTGCGACCTCTGGGATGAAGCCATGTTGCAGGCGCGGGTGGGTTGATTCTAGGAACTTGAATTGTGAGAAGAGACAAGACGTTGGGAAATGAGTGACAAACGGTTACTCACCAGTGACTCACGGCCTACCCGTACCCGGCCGCACCAGGGTCGCAAACGGGTACCCGTACCCGGCTGGGTACGGGTAGCCGGGTATCGGGTAGGGTACGGGTATCGGGTACCCGGTTGCGACCTCTGGTGTATGTGAACTTACGCATTTGTGTGCGAATGTTGTTGGGTGCGGAGGATTGGATAGTGAAAGGAGAAATCACCGTCGGTGCACGCATCTGCCCACATCTCCAAGCTCGCCTGATGGCAATTAGAAAGGCCATTTTCAACATCACCATCTTCAAGGGTCAAGTAGATCAGTCTCAAAGGATGGTCGGCAAAGGCCCAATACATCCAAGGGGATGACACTCAATAGCACCACACCCCATCTCAGGGGAAGCCTTGGATGCCGCAAACCTTAAAAAAGCCCGACAACCAGGCGTGAAGAGACCATCAACTTGCCTTTTCCTTATCATGGGCAAGCAGCTACCCTGATCTTAAAATAATTGAGTACCAAGCCCATCTCAAACTCTTCAACCACCAATTTTCCCAGGTCTATAAATTGAGTACCACTTTGTGGAGAAGTCAACTGTGGTTGTCACGCCTCCGCCATAGGAATTGTGGAATTTCTGCCACCAGCTGTTGGCTGCAACCTAGAGATGAGCACCACCTCAATGCTCAGTCGAACAGAAGATCACTATGACTATATGATCAAGGTAACGATTAAGATGCTAGTGGTGGTGATGATTGATGATAAAGATGATGATGGTAGCAGCAATGATTGCCGTTGTGCTTACAATTGCTGGCTGGGTGGCCGAAAATTTAGCCCTTCTTGCTACTAAGCCAGGTGGCATGGAACTTAATTTTTCCTTTCCTGCAGATGCTGACAATTTCCGAGCGTACGGACGACGTGAATTGTCATGTGGACATTAAAGACCTCATGGTATAATCGCAAAACAGTTGGCCACTGTGTACCCAATCCTGGTTGTTCGTATTACATATGTATAATACACAAATTTCAAAGCTCAAATTTTTAACCCGATAATAGCAGCAGTCACCGTTTGAACAGTTCCCCAGGTCCTCTCCCGTAAATAACATTGAATAAAAGACCTTAAGCGACTGACGTATATGTTACACTACAAAACATACATTATGCAGCGAGTAAATTACAAATTGGCAAGAACACGTGTTCGCTGCGGGAAAGAGGACGTGTCCCTACTCTCTGCAGGAGTTCGATGTAGAAAATTCCCCAAAAAATGACACCGATCAACAACAGCCTCTCAGCCAGCTCATAGCACCTGTTCACAGCTTGGATGCTATCCAATCCAAAATGCATCATTCTGCAGCAGTAACAACACTCGAGGCGTTGATCTAATTCACACAGCACGTGGAGACAAGACCTCCAGATGTAAAACATAAGAGATAGAAAGTACACACAGACACACAGATCCAGATATCACAAATAGATGTATACGTCACAGAGATATGGCTCTAGACACCACAGAGATGGACACACATAACACCCAGACACTTATGTCACACACAGGGACCCAAACACACAGATTACATACACGGAGACACAAAAGACACCAGACATCACACAAAGACACAGGTCCACTGAGACACACACACATCACACAAAGCCTCCAAATCTCAAAAACAAATAGATTATTGGACATCACACAGAGACACACGTTCGTCACAAACACTGACGTCACACACAAAGACGCATCGACACAGCTCCGTGGACAGCATGGCTCACATAGCACCATGGGTAATAAAAAGTCAGTGAGTACGTCAGCAGCCTTAGAAGCACACGCGTACCATCGTCCTCCCCACCCACCCCAATAGAATCCTCGAATCTACCAGCCAGCGAGGAATCTTAATGCAACTGGATGCCGGCAGCCATTTCACTACCCTCGAGCACTACTGCCTCCGCACCGGCATCTGCATCACTTCGCCGTGCATGAGACGCCGGCAAAACCCAAGGTGAACACTCTGCGGCATTGGTCAGTGCCCTGCAGGCAGGCCTCTTCGTCGAAAGCACTTGGGAGACATCGCGTCGCTCGAGATGCTCTGGAAGCATCCCCAGAAAGTTGTGGACTTTTTAAGAGAAGTCGCGGTGGGTGGCAAGGGGGGGGAGGGAGGGAGGTCAGGCAGGTGCCTTCGCCGCTATGGTGCTGGTAGCGCAGCAGCAGGGGATCTGGTGATGGGTTTTTGAGGGTGATTTGTTCTCTTGTTGGTGTCCATAAACACAGTAACACACAATGGGACTAATGTTACACGGGAAACTCGCGTTATATATTTGATTAAAAAAAGGGAGCACATAAGAAAAGAAAAAAACGACATGATGAACGAAGTAAAGTGCCGAAAGACCGAGCATCTTTCTCGTCTGATCGTTTTAACAAAATTAACCTGTAAAAACAAAGTTTTTTACTATAAATCCTTTATATGCGTGTTCAATGGGCCACAACCCAGCCCACATTTGTCTTTGAAATGGGCGGCTAGAGTCCTCTCGTCCTCTGGCTTGAGATGGCTGCCACCTATGGGTCAGATGATTGCCTGCCACCATTAAGCTATTGGTAATCAAATATAAAAAAAAAAAATCCTAAAAAGTGTAAAAAATTTTAATTTTTTTTCACGAAAATACATTGTCACACACAACGAGTATGTGTGCAAAATGTCAGCTCGATTGGATCACGGGAAGTGGGTTAAAAAACGACCGAAAGATTTGCACGGTCGTAAGCGCGCAAGCAAGCAAGCAAGTGAACTTAATATAAAGGATTTAAAAAAAAAGGAGGGAGGGAGGGGAAAAGTGGCCAGGGAAGCTACAGCCTCACCTGGTCGGCGTCCTCTTGCACGAAGCAGGGCTCCTGCGGCGCGCACAGCAGCGGCACGAATCCAGCGAGAGCATGGTCCTCATCCAGCACCAGCGGCACCAGGCCCGGCCCGGCCTGCGCTTGCAGCTGCACCTCGCTCACTGCCACACCAGCCAACGCGTTGCACAGCTCCGCCAGGGTGCTCCACGTGTCCCCGCACACGCTGCACACGCCACGCGAGCCATGGTTAAGCTCCGGCGAGCGTGGGTCAAGGATCACAGGGGATGGCGCACGGATCATATAGGTCACGGGCCACAGCGCGCGGATCGCGAGCAATGCCGCTGGGCGAATTGGTGGCTGGAGCGCTTACTGCTGGGCTAGGGATAGTTGCTGGTTAAATTTTTCACTCGTGTCTGCTGCAGAGCGGACCCCAAGGTTAATCATTCATACTTTGAAATACCTTATTTGCTCGCATTTATTTGATGGTCATCTCTACCAGATCGACCTTGTAAAAAAACAGCCCATGCAGGGTCAAGTTCTTACGTGGTGAAGAAAGCTCTCCGATTCTGAGGGTCTTTATTTATAACGAGGTAAAAGCGCGAATTGAGACCTAAAATATGAATGTTAAAGTTGTCTGCATTGAAAGTAGAAAAAAAAGCATTACACAGACTGCAAAACAAGAAAAACAGTTCATGAGAGATTCAGAACAATTTTAGAAACATACACATATAAATCTAATCAAAGTTAAGTAAAAAAATTTAGACGTAAATTAGTCTTGTCCAGAAAGGCTTTTAAAATCAAATATATAACAAATCTATTGCCCAATCAAGATGATAAATGTTTCATGAAGGTTTACTGGGACGAAACTACTTAAAATGCAACACAATCAATATTGGTGCACTTATGAGGGGTATCAAATATGCAAGTGGATTTGCCAAATTTAGTGTTGACTTTTTGGAAGATGGCATGAGCATTTTAAATTACGAAATAAATCATTAACTTTTTCATCGGAATAAAACATCCGATCGTACCCTAATTCGGCAAGATGGCAGCAGCACATCAGTTCCACTTTAAACTGACAAGATCACCGATATAACCAATTAATATTGCATACAAGAGTAGGCAGGGCAGATATAAGACATTCAAATAAAATATGAAGTGAAAAAAGTTATAAAATGGAGTGATTGTTAGAATCGTTACAAGTGTAGAGTAGCAGTAAGTGACGTCGCGGGGAGTGACGTCGGGGGGAGACCCTGGGGGACGGTGACCTCATATCCCAGGGGGGACGGTGACGTCATGTCCCAGGGGGACGGTGACGTCATGTCCCAGGGGGGACGGTGACGTCATGTCCCAGGGGGGGTATTCAGGGGGAAGCCCGTGACGTAAGAGGGGTCGTCGTGGCAGCCGGGAACGGAGAGGTTGGAGGGTGGGACCCGGGGTAGCGTAGGTCTGACAGGAGGCTAAGGGTGGCTACTTCACCCGACCGGCCGAAGTGCGGTTAGCCCTCGGCCGGTGCAGGGAGGAGAGCCCAGATAGGATCCCCAGGACCCGTGTCCCCTGGGGAGTATCGTCTAGGGCTCTAGGGCGTCCCTTGTTAGGCGTAAGCCGGTGAACCAGTTAGGCGTAAGCCCCAAATAAACTTGGCGCGAGCCCCCTACAAATTCACCTGCCTCCGCGTCGTAGTTTGCACCACAACACAAGATAAAAAAAAGCATTTCTTAAAAATATTCCAACTGTGCTATCGACGGTAAAGCCATGGGACGAAGAATCCATTTGGAAATCTCACAGCAGCGCAACTCGTCACGTGAGAGAACGACCCACAGAAGCGGATCTCAAAGAGCTACCTCCGAGATCCCTTCAAGTGACCTCTAGACCACACAGTAGGGGGGGGGGCAACACTTTGTCTACCCCACTGACCAAGAGATTTGAATGTCCATTTTGAAGCAGACAGTGAGGTTTGTAAATAACAACCGAGGGCACTACCAGGCAGCTGTGGGAAATCAATAGTAAACCCCTTCCAGACTCTAGGGCCAGGGGGGTGTGCAACAGGCCACGTTAAGAATCTCCTAGCTCTCCGTGGGCCGCGGGGGTCACGTGGAAACGTCTCAAATTGTCACGTCGGGTCAGCGAGAACGACATCGTGCTTGTAAACAACAACATGGGCCTTGGTAGTCCTGTTCGAAAGCGAACAGCCCGCAAGTCCCTTTCAACTGGTGCTCGAAGGCCAGCTACAATCTACGTGGCCGTACACCAGAGGTCACACGAGCTGTAAGTCGCGCACCCTAACTCTGGGAAGGCTAATGCAACTCTTACGAGTTAATTCCTGGGCAAGGGAGGAAGCAGGCTTGCCTGGCAAGAGCCTCAGTGCCTCAATTGGCTGCCACGTGGAATAAATAAAGGACATTAAATCAATGGATCTCATTCCACAAAAAAACATTTGCGTTCCAATATATAAATAATCAAAATCAATTTTCATGCAGCCACTTCACGGTGAAACTCGGGATGTATTTGAACGACATAAGCCGTCGTCGTTACCACAGAACGTGTAGCCGGTACAGATTGTACCTACTCCAAAAAAAACCCAGTGCAGCGAAGGCTTCCCACTCTTCATGGAAGCTGATGAGTTTGACTCTTGGTGTAAACTTTAAACAGCACAGCTTATTTGTTTTAAGAATTTCCCTATAAACGACTTGACAGCACTGTTGCGATCCTTGAAATCTCCCACTGTTGTTTTGAAAGCGTGCGCTGGAGCAGCTTACTCTTCAGCGCCATCACGAATTCACAAACTATCCCCACCCCACCGCCCATTTGCATCCATAGTCACTCCCCAAACCGCGAGACCCAGGGAAGGAAGGAGCGGCGGCGGAGGGGGCGGGCGACGAGAGGGAATCGTCCAGCGCCTATCGGCACGCATCGGCAGGCCACACTCCATTACACGCGTACACACGTACACACGGCGTGCGCAGCAAATAACGACAACTACCAAAACAACGGCGGTCACTTAGGCCGCGCTGAATTATTGAACTTGGGCAGTCAGCTGATCTGCGCGATTTGGCGACGTAGTAGTGGAGAAATGCGGGGAAGCTTCACGCTCCATCCACCAAACATAGGCTGCCTGCGGGTGAGGCGCATAAGGGAAATAAATCTGCAAAACTTGAGGATGCCTCTTTGTTAGATGTTCCAAACAATCTCTGGAAACCGAAATGAAAGGCGGCAGACCACACATGGGAGCTTCCGAGTGTTTCTGCTGGTCCAGGACGTTGCTCACGTTCAGCAAAGCATTTTTACAGCTGAGATTACCGCTGATCCCGTTCCATCTGAATTGAAATCTTTCGGCAAGGTCAGGGGTCGATTACTCAGGTCCACGTTTGGGCGATGCCTACGGCACAAGCGATCCCACAGTGAAAGCAACAATTATTTCTGATTTATCTCTTCGAGTGTTGTGCTTTTTTTCATTGCGCTGTCATTCTTTATGACCTGATAATCCCAATGCAAAAACAAAACAGCTTGCGTTCCCGACTCCGCTGCTAACCTGTTTGTTTGTGAAAAGGGGGACCCCCCGCCCCCACCTTTCATTCAGTATCAGGCATGGATATCCAGCCATGTGGGTGCAGCTATGCAGTGTGCGACACGCAATTGCAAGGTTCCGGGTTGATATCCTGGTTGGGGTGGTTTCCTTAGCCCTCTCACCCTTCCATGGTCAATGAAACGAGCACCACAGTCGGTGCGGGAACTACACAGTGGGCATCCTCTTGAAGACTCCTCGACCATAGGAATGTGGAATTTCCTTCACTGCCTCAGGGCTGTAAAAACAGGAAATGGAGTGCCGTTACTACTCGGCTGGGCAGGAAACCACTCGTGATGAGGCGTGTAACGATTCATCACCCCAACGACTCCACGAATAGCCACGATTCGAAGAAGCGATTCGCTTCAAGAATCGATTTTTTTTTGTCACACGTCTACCGTCTCATTGGCATTGTGACGGAGTTTTCTTGCGTCATCGTTTGTAGAATTTGATGCATTCCGTAACTAACGTGTTCTTGCACACACGCTGTGATGCATGTACCTTGAGCATACGAATCAATTTTAAATGGGGAATTGATGCACTGTTACGTGTCTGTGTGGTACAATTGGTTTGCTGAAACTGAGATGAAATAAATATATGCGCAAGGGACCGTTTAGAACACAATTCATTTTTTAATTGTGATTAATATTAACGCACCAGTGAGGTTGGTCAGTACCTAATAATGGTACTTGAATAAAAGCAGCTTTTTGTTTGTTATATATACATACAGAGAAGTCACCGAGTCTGAAGAGACTGCTTGGGTAAAGTAGTGTTAGTGAGCTCCTACTTACGTGGTACGTTAAAGCCTGAGGCGACATTATAAACTACATCACAAACACCCAACCACCTTTGTCTCCCAAGTACCGACATTGACCGCAACACACCAGGTGCTCACTTTAGGCCCGAGTTGACTTCGGGGAGGCCCAGATGACGTTCAAATTGCCACCAGTGTGAAATGGCCGGGGAGTTACACATACCCTGTTCGCTCATATCACACCAAGGTGCACTCACAAAATTAGCTACAACACTGCTCCTGAGACAAACATACACACAGACACACAGTAGCAGCTTTCCTGTACGCAGGTAAACAGCACCACAGTGGCGGTATTCCCACAGGTTCAACCCCAGGCCGAGTGCGCTGGCTGTGCTGACCCCGCTGTGGGACACTGTCAATGCGGTGTACGTAGCTCCGCGCTCGCCCGCGTTGGGGCGGAGCGGCAAACTAGTGTCTCTACGGAGCAGGCCAAAAAATGTCATCAGATTTGCTCCCGAGAATTTACACTCAATCTCGGGACACATCTTTTAGAAAATGAACGGCGCTGCTCTGCGTTCTGCGAGTGAACCACCGGTAAACGTTCATGCTCGGCGAGCACATGTCTGCGGCTGATAAGGGCTTTCTAAGACTGTGGCAAATTACGTGTGGCAACTCCAGTTTAGGTGCGATGGCTCACAGCGAGAGGGCAATTTAAAAGGTGCAATTTATGTACATATGCTGCGCTGATTTAAACATATGTATGACACATTAGTGTAATGGACTTCAGGTGAGCTTCCAGATCAATTTAATTAATTCCTAATACTGTCTTTATTTCACAAACAACTTTAGCTTTCATAAACCATACATTTGCTCTTAAGGAACATTGTAATGTCATAACGTGAAC